CAGCAAGATAAACACCCAAAGCACACTACTCATGTTGTTCGTGAATACAATACTCCTCACAGGCCTCAAACTCAATCTCGATCCAATTGAGCACTTGTGGGATATAATGGAAAAAAGAACTCATAGTAATCAAATAACCTGTAAAAATAAATTAGAAGTTTATATTTCGTTTACATGTAACATGTAAGTCGATTTTGCCTATCAGTTACATGCAACGAATATTATGAGTAAATTTAGCAGAAAATTCTCACGATCATAGCTAGATAGCTAGCTAGCTAGTTTCAGCTATTCTATCGTTATTGTAATAAGAAAGACCAACTACTTGAAGCTTTTCTTTCTCTGAATAACCCATTTTCTTAACAGAATGTTTTAATTTAAACTCCGTGTGACTGCCTGTAGGTGGGTACGCAAATATAAAAAATATCCCTGTATCTATTATAGCCCAAACTCGATTTCATTCCCACCAAGAATATCCTAGGCCGAATCGATCTACATTTAACGAGAAAAAGAACAACCCACACTGCAGCAGTTTTTCCGGAAGCAAATAGGATGACAAGTTTTGTTAATAATATAATAATAATAATAATAATAATAATAATAATAATAAGCATTTCAGCCAGGATATCTAAGTTTTATACAGAATGCTTTAATTTTATACTTTACCGGTAACCTTTTTTCTTAAAAAATCCATCGGGTTCACTTAAACAGAAGAGAAATATAAAAGATCCGCCCCAACGGGCCGTTATATAACATTAACATTCAACGCCCTCTATCGGCATACTACGTAAACAATTCACGACGCAAAAAAGCCTCTTATTATTTTCGGAAAAAATCCCGCCGCGAAAAAAACAATCCGCGAGGGCTGGACGTAGATCCTACCGAGCGCGCCAAATAAAACCGCCGGAACCGCCACAAATCAGATAATATAAAAGGCGAGCTCGCTCTCTTCGCCCAGTCTCCTGTATATTTATCGACGTTTTAATGATTTATTTTCGCTGCGGAAATGTTTGTTTGGATTCGCCGGGTCGCCTCGAATAGGAGGCGGGCGTTTATTTATAAGCTGCCGGTCGTGTTTGCTTTCGACGACGGATGCGGCGATTACATTCGCTACAATTTACCGGCTGAGGTTATGCGTGGCGATAAACGAGGCTATTTTTTTTTTACGTTTTTGTTAAAGTGGACGGTGCCGACCGAGCATCTGTGCGTAAAACTCTTATCTGCGTCAGATGATGAGCGTCTAATAGCAACCGGTCTGCGAAGTAATTAAACGTAATGAAATCGTCTATACGATTTGTTTTATTTACCAACCCTCTGTGGCAACTTTTTTTAGTTCGACTGTTCTGTGTAAGCAACATATTATTTTTTCAATATAAATATTCGAGCCAAGTTTAGGCCCAAACAGTAAAATCAGCTGTTCGCCACAACATAACCTCAAACAGTAAAAAATTCGTTTATCGCAATATATTTGTGTGCTGTGCTGCCAGTATTGAAGTTAAACAAAATAGTGACTTGAATTGTATTAGTTTCTGTTAATTAATCATTCAGAAGAAAAAAAAAACGTTCAATTTCGTTAAACGATGAACTATCCACGTTAAAGGACATTAAAAGTACATGAATATGCATCCAAAACGTATATTATACATTTAAACATCTTTTTTCGTCAAGTGATGAAATTTAATACAATATTCCCTCTGATCACTTTTCAGAAAAATATGACATTCCCTTGACAAGATTACATTTACATTACAATTACAATTACAGATACTGAAATTATGGAGTGGGCTAGTGGAACAAGCGAATCAAGCCATCCTTTTAACCTTGAAGAAAATCCTGAACAAGAAAGTGAAGAAAATGTAGAAAATTCGCCTGACTACAACAAAAACATCAATGATATTATAAATTATTTTAATTTGGTCATAGAATGGGCAAAAGAAACTGACAATGAGGTTATTTTGTTGGAATTTAGTGCTGTACTAAACCAAAGATTTATTAAAATTTGTTTGTATATTTATTCCACACAGTTTAGTTAGTAAAAAAAACAAGTAAAAATATTTCCGGGACGGTAAGTATTTTTAGACTGCATTTTTATAAGCAACTTTTTCCAATAAGAAACTTTATTATTGAAATTGGCTCAAATGAGTTGCTTATAGAGCGTTCACTGTATAATTACTTATACGAAGAGGTGAAGCATACTTTGAAAAAAACCATTTGACTACCAAAAAAGGATTAGAATTCTAAAAACAAGCAAACATTTTAAATGAAGGTTCTTGGCGCCATCTAGTTTTGGGTAGTTGCAACTCGATGCGTTAATGTAATCAGTTTTTATTAGATACTTTAACAATTTGACTTCAGAAACAGTGCCTCGCCAGTAGTAACCAACACACATGATCGTGATTCTGACCCTTGTGGTAATTAAAGAGTGAACGATAAACGAATGTTTAGAATAATGGATGAAAAAAAAATGCAGTTGAAAATTTTACATTTTTATTGCACGAGCAAGAAAAGAAACAACAATGGAATAGTCTTGGTTAAGTATAGGATGTGCCCAATAAATAATTTTTGTATTTCAATTTAGACTCTTTTATTTCGTTGATTCCAACATTATCAAAAAGTGAGTATATGTTGTACTCAATTGCAAAAACGGTCTACTTCTACTCAACATAGCCGAACAACATCACTTTCACCACACCCGTCCATCGCGTTCTATTTCTCGCTACTTGTTCCCAGTTCTCTATATCCATCATCTTTAGACCTCTCTCTATATTGTCTTTCCATCTTTGTCGTGGTCGTCGTCATTTTACTAATAAGGTATGGAATTATCTTTTGGGGGGGTAGTGGTCAACTACAGAAAATTTTTGTGGTTCAAAAGAGGACTCTTCGCACTGTCAAAAAAATACAATTTAGAGAGAGCTGTAGAGGGGTCTTCAAGACTGACGGTATTTTTACTGTATATGCTTTATATATTTATGAAGCATTGATATTCTTTTTTAAAAATCGAAAGGACTTCGAAGTACAGATATTTCATAGATATAATATCAGAACCCTAAATGTAAATTACCCTATTCACCGTTTAACCTTAACTGAAAGGAGTCCTTATTACATGTGCCTGGGATTGTGTAATAAATTACGAGTTAGAACCTTACTCCATAGAAGAGTTTTTCTGTAAAATTTAAATAATTGTAAATACGATGTAATTGAAATTTGACGCTGATTTCCTTTGTATTATTTTTAGGTAATGTATTTATGACACAATGTGAAATAAAGTTGATTATTATTATTATTATTATTATTATATTATTATTATTATTATTATTATTATTATTATTATTATTATTATTCCGCTACACTGCACTTTATATTCATTAATTAATAAATTAAATTTATCAGTTTAGAATCCATATTTGGTAGCAAAAGAGTGTAAGGAAACGAAAATTCTGGGCGCACTCACGTCATCCAGCGTGGACATCCGGCCCTGCATTACCGGCGTTAATAATAAAACTGTCACGAGAGACGCTTCAGTTGTGACGATAAGCATACGGGCGAGCGTGATTGTTTCTCGACGTACTTAGAACGAGTCTGAAAAGGACCCACATCCGGTACACGACAACGTTTCGCTTTTGTGTGCGGAAGAATCCGGCTCGAAGGACCGAAAAAACGAGTTTAGGAGAAATTGTGAATGTAGTTCCGAAACAGCCGACGCCTCTGGTCTCTAAGCAACGCACGGATATTTGGTTCACCCCGCTGGTACTTTTGTATCCTCGAAACGCATTTATCCGTTTGACGTTTGACGGACAGGCTCATCGAGTAGGCCGTTGTCGATGTAAAAGGCATAACAACGAAGCGAAGACGAGATCTCATTACGCGGACCAGACATGATCGAGTGCCTCGAGGTGCGAGAATATATCTCACTCTAATACCGTTCTATAGTAGGTAACTATCGCTAACCACGACCTTAAACTTCGAGAATGCATTGGAGTCATAATAGAACAATATTAATCATAGGTAGAACATTTATTCGCAATTTACACAAATTATTATTTAAAAATTCCGGAAACGCCATTTTTACGCATAAATTGCGGATTTGACTACGACTTTGTCAATGTCAGCAACCGGTACCAAAGGCGGGTGGGACGGGCAGGGGTGCCAAAGTAAGAGGAAGACACAGGGTAGGTGCCAGAGGTAGCACCAATGACTGGGTGTTTTCATACATCAATCATCGTGAATTCAAAAGCTGGTACTGAGTCGTGCAATATAATTAGTGTAGAGTTAAGTACTCCTCAAGGAGGAATTCTTGGTCCTCCTCCATATTTCTTTTATATGTAAATGGCTTAACAAAGAGACTAAAAGACTGTTAACTTTTTTATACCGCGATGACATAACAGCAGTGATACCGGCTAAATCAATAGAAGAGTTAAATTTCAAATTAAGATATAATCAATTGATCACGTGTGTTTGAAATTAAACAAAATCTGCTTTGCTATTAAAAGTCGGCAACATAAATTTTCTTTTGAAGCGCTGTTCTATCGTGGGCTCAAGCAACTAACATTGATCGAATATTTATTATTGAAAAAAGAATAATTAGATTAATTATTATGCGAAGAAACTTTTAGGTCACCCACAGTCAGAATTCGAAATTAAAAAAAGTGAAGTTTATAGTCACAATACACTTAAAAAAACTCCAAATTCCAAGATTTAAACACTTTTCTTAAAAAGTATCATTATCAGGTTGACATTTACAATTATAACTCGCTTCCTGGGGGAGAATTATTTATTATTGTTTTTTGTTTTTAATTTTGGTGCATAAATATATAGATACATACCGAAAGGGTAAGATATGTAGACGATGTCGCGGAATGTGAAGGAAATTCATTTTTAATAGACGCAGAAACACTAATAAACAAAAACGTAATGTTTACTTGTTTTGTTTAGTTAGTTTGTTAGTAGTACGCAAGTTTTGCTTCGAGTATAATTTGGTTAGTTTTGGTTAGTCTTACGCTTACCGTGAATGGAATTAGCGGTGGAATGCTGCAGAGAATAGAGGTACTCCATATGAGGCGGAAGTCGATAAGCGGGGTGCAGTTCCCTACTCAAGAGGATCCCGCTCCCTGGGCTCGCGCCTACCCTGCAACAAAAAGCGAGAACAACGTAAAAAAAAAACTTATTTACAAACACGACACAACGCAACATCAAAACATTTCGTTTGAAAAGGGCCCCGAGAATTATCGGTGTTGTCGCCCCGACTCATAAGGGAGCAAGAGAAATCGGAAGAAAAAAATGTGTTAGCTTCCATTTAGACATTTGGTAAATGACGTACTTAAATATCTATAAATATCTAAAAATTAATACGATTAAATTGAATTTTAAACTTTAAATAGCCGGTGAATAGAACTGGACATATGATTAACGAATAAATAAAAAAATCGGGTTCTTTTAAATTGAAATTCCTATGTAATATTGGCATACGTCCAAAATGAAGATCGATATGCTATTAGGACTGTAAGATCTTCTTCGTATACTCCAAAAGGACCCCTTACTTTCTTATGCAAAAGAGATCCTACGATCCTAAAATTTTGATATAATTTTCACAATAGTCACAAGACTGGCATTTTTCTTGTAAAGGAAAATGGCGTAATACATTGTTCAGATACCGTAACATAGTTTCAAAGTTTCCAATACGGGGTGTTTTAAATCGTGGGGAAATACATGTCTTTAGCAAAGAACTGAAATAAAACATAGTTAAAAGAAAGGTGTTTCGAATAATATGCAGTGGTTTAAGTTTTATTATTATTAAAGTTTACTTATTCCATTCTACCGCATATACAATAAAAGACTTTTTTTTTGTAAATGTTAAGCCTCACTTAAATTGATTCAATATCCTTAAAAAGTTTTCAAGTTAAACGATAAATACGAAAATTAAATTGATACTTTAGCACCCTGTAACTTTTTATCTGTCAACTTTTGGACTAAAATATGTATGTAATGGCAGTTTGTTTTCAAGACACAAAATGTGGTGCTTTTGGATTGTAAACAAAATTAACCCATAACAATTTTTATCTTCCATTATTAAAACATTTGTTCACAACGTTAAAGACTACAACATACCAGATTTTTAGGAAGTGGTCGAAAGCCATTTTTGTATGAGAAAAACGGGGTTCTTCCACATGCTAACTTACACTTGGCGGGTTTTTCATTCTAAACACTGATCTGCACGCACTTTTTTTCCTGAACATGTTATCTAAATAATCCTTGTTTGTCAATGCAAATTAGAGGGCTACTACGTTGAGTTTTGCTCGCCCGCTACACGAGAAAGCGCTACAAATCTAAACCGCTCGGCGTCACTACCGTATACTCCGTTCCCGGAATTCGTCCGGGCACGAAAAACATTCGCAATCGAGAATTAGCGCCGACATAAATAAGACGCACCGAAACGAAAACAAGACCGAAATTGAGCCTAAGCGAGCAATTTAAATACGATCGCCGCTTTATTGGCCTGGGCATGCCTTGCCTTGCGCTTATGGCCCAACGGCCCAGGCGATTTAAACTTCCCGTGGTCAACCCCGGGCGGTCACTTCCTCGATCTGGTCCGCTCCAAAGAGACACACCTGATAATGTACTCTTCGGAGTTAACTTTTATTTAGCCGTAAAAAGCTGCAGTTGTTTATGGGTCGGGTCTTTTTTTCTGGGCCTGCGCAATTACCGCCGCAGAGGCGGCACCGGCAAAATAAAGGTTGCGGCATAATGGACGGGTTTATTCGTTTACATTTCGGCCAGAGGCGTGCGGACCTCGCGGCGATCGGAAGTTTGGCCGACTGGTTTCAGCTGATTTGTCCGCAAGACCGAAAAGAAGAGGCGCCGCGCTTGCGCAGATCTTAGTGCGTGGATTTGTTGCATTGCGCATGGAAGCGTTGATGGCCCCCCGTTATACGGAAGAAGACTATTGTTTAGGAGGCATAGAACTAAATAAACAAGAAATTATAAATAACCAGCTGTCACAACATGTAGAGAAAAATCAGATTCGAATGTCAGTGACGACATCTTCGGGGCCACAAATGCGGGTAAAATCATAGTATTAGCATTATTAGATTTTTCAAAAGGATTTGACATAATACATCACGAAGCATTGTTTGCAGTTATATAAGGTTAAAAATTTCTTAACTGTCGAATTTGCTCATAAGGCCTCAATTAATTGACGTACTACTGTACGTCATTTTCACCTCTAAGATTCAAAACATACTTAAACATTGTAGAGCTCAAGATTATGCGGATTTCATTCGTATCATCTTAAATAATAATAATAATAAATCTTAAAACAATCTTATTAAAGCTCATTCTGAATCGAAATAAATACTGTTTAATCATATTTTTTGTATATTATGTCGTAAATAGTAAAAATACAACAACTGTGATTCTACAAAATTTCTGGATTCCTGCTGCGGCGGTTTTTGTCGACTTGAAACAGTTTCAGTCAACCACTGAAGAAGTCAGCAGCATGATTGGCGAAACGAAGTTTTGTAAAAATTATTACAGCAGCTTGTTGAGAATCGTCAATAACAATGTATTTAGAGTAGAAGTTGGCGTTTATAAAGAAAGAATAAATAAATAAATATACGATAATGTTTTAATGCATTCGCACCGACCTAAAATTTATTGCAAAAGAAAAATCACATATTTTTTTATTGGGCAGTCCAAATTTCGTTTTGCTAAATTCTATGCTTGCTGTGCTGGTAAATTTATTGGCTTCTTCAGTATAATAATACAATAATAGATAATACATGTTGAATTACTTTAGTTAAGAACTTAAGGTGAGGAAAGGAATAACATTTCAGCTTTGAGCGTTATTACTGTAAAATTTATTATAATTTGTATTCAATAATTTAACGTTTGTATATTCGTGCGTATATTTCAATGTATTCCAAAGGAAGCAAGAGAATGTAACGGTGGTAGAAACAAAGCTTTTAAAACGAAAGAAGTTAGTTTAAATTTAGATATAAAATTTACGAAAGTTATATGAAAAAATATAAGAAAAGTTTTAACCCTCGAACTCGTAACCTGACTCGAAGTTGCTCCATACTGCTTAGATCTTCGCTTATTTAAATTAAGACCTTCGAAATGTGGTCAATAAAGAGTCGCTCCATTTGATTAACAATCTTTACCATCCAACATGCGCGACAATCATCCTAAGTGATATTCTTGGGTTATTCTTCGTTGGGATTTCTGACTTCAGTCACGCACAACGATTTGGCCCTTCCTATTTCAGCTTTATTCCAACTTTTAAAAAGATTTTAAATATATTTATGGATCGTGGTTAGTTTCCGACGCTTCTTCTTTACGATTTTTATCACGTCGGACCCACACTCATGGCACACTCGCCCATAACACCTATATCCGGCGGAGACGCTTCCGATAGGTCCAATTAAGCAAATAAACCGCCAGATTATTAAACATTGGGGTTACAATTCGGACTGGCGATTCAATTAGACGCAGCGTTAACTCGCTTCGAATTGAAATTTCCCGGGGCCGGGTGCATTTCACATTCCGATAATATTGCCGCGTTCCAATTAAGGGCAACGCATGCGCGGTACCGTGCCACGAGATAAGGTCTTATTAACACCTCGGGTCACGTGAAGCGACAGGGACGGCCTTAATTGGCCCGTTCGAGGGTGTTATCTGATGGCGAACTGACCGCAACTCGCGTGGTTTTTCAATGTTTGTCTTGCCACACTATGGCGGCGTGTTACACACGCTTACGCGGCGACACGAACGCAGATTTTCGATCACGTTCACTACTCATTGTTTATATACAGGGCGTGGTTTACGCTAAAAAAAAAACTGTATCCGTAAATGGCCAAATTCGAGAAACTAACTTGAGATTCGAATATTTACGTTTGTAGGCATTTTAATGACTAAGTATATATTTGTTACTTATTATACCCGGTTTTATTGAAATCATATAACTTAAAAGCGTTTTGAAACAGATTTTTTTTATTTAATGCTCTTGGCCGCGTTTGCCACGATCATTCGCCATTATAGGTTATGGCCACTGCCGTACCATTAGAGAGCCAGATAAATAACTGTACATATTTGTCAGCGACAGCATAATGAACTAAATATATAGATTAAATATGTTTTGCAATTTATTTTTACAAACGACTGTAGAATAGTTTTTTTTTTGCATTTTTTTACTAACTTAACATTTAATTATGTCCTTTTACTATCTTGCATATTTTTAAAACAAATACTTCGTAGCCAAATTAATTAGCTAGCTATATTTATTATAAAAAAATAAAAATGTATGAAATATTTGTTAAACAATTTAAAAGTGGAAGAATATCGTTTAATTGAACGTTAACTAATATTACTATTATTATTTGTTTAATTAATAATAAAAGTTACCACTGTACGACTCATATTTTCTAGGTATTTATTAAAAAAATGTTAATTATTTGAGGAAGTTTTGCTAAAAAAAGGTTTAATAATGACGTACGTATTAATTATTATAATAAAAGATATTCCACAATCCGTCACAGGGTGTACAAATAACGCAACAAGTGTTATTATGAATCAAAATACAATTGGTTCAAAAATTGTGATGTTTAATATCATTAATCTATAGTTGAAAGTTAAACGTAAACGTCATTACCGGTTTTAAAATTATTAAAAAAAATTCAAAATTAAGGTTTCTTACATAATTTCGAGCAAAGTTTGTGAATTAATTATTCTTTTGCAAAATTTCGTAAAAAGTTTTGTGAATTCACTATTTTTTTTTGTAAAAAATTTTTTGGTGTGTGAATTTGCACTTTCTTTTTTCGAAATTTTGTAAACAAAAGTTCTTCAAATATTTTTATTTTATAGCGAGTGTGCCCCTGTACATAACGTAATCGAAAGCTTACAACATTCTAAAACATATTAAAAGGGTTTCTACAAAATCGCGACCTCAAAAAATAAATTATGCTCACGAGGAAGGAGAAAAACAATGACAATATTAGATAATTATAGTATAACCTTCCATTTTGTTAAGAACTTAAATTGTGCTAGTTTGTGGACTTCGAGGTAATGCCATAAATTGTCATTAAAAAAAGGCGAAACGCTCATTACAATCGAATCCGATTTAGGTAGAAATAA